CGGCGGCGGAGCTGCTGCGTGAACGCGGCTTACCGCGGCGCGGTACTCCGGTGTGCGGGCGTGTTACCGCAGAGCCTCGGAGTCACTCCCAGGCCTGAGAGCGGCCCGTCTCGGAGCTTACTGAATTCAGCCGGAAACCGTGCCTGCCTGGTCCCGGCCGTTACCCATCACCGTGACGGGTCAAGCTGACCGGTTCCCGTAACTGAGAAAACGCGCCTTGACTCCAGCTGGCTTCAAGGCCGTCCTGTTTGGGGGAAGGCGGCCCCGTCTCCAGGACACGTTTAACTCTGGACGAACACCGTCCCGTCGTTCCCAGGATGTGTCTGCGTAACTCTGCCTGGCCGCGTATGACATAATTCTGGCGTTTCCTGTAAGCAGTCATGCAATAACCTGTTACCGGCCTTGTACCTCTCACTTGCAAGCCGTATGTAAACTGAACTCAAACCTGACTTGTGGGACGCGGTGGTCTCTCCCTGGTCCCCGGGGGGGAACGGCGAGAGGATTTAGAAAATAAAAGATAGGCGGGGTCGGGTGGCGTTACCTCTTGCCTGATGAGCAGGAGGACGGCCCCAAAACGGTAGAGCGATTACTTACACCCGGGAGAGGTTCGTTAACTTTGTCTCGCTGCGCAGCAAGCAGTTAACAGGTTACAAAGGCCTGTTTCCTCCGAGGAGCTCCGGTGTTCTCAGGCTGGCTTCGTCATGCATGTGTCATTATTTTCCAGCCTAAGCGGCTCCCAACCCTGACTCCACGGATGATTTGAAACTGTTTTCCTTCGGCCCGCCGGCCTTACAGTTAGAGTCTGCTTCTCAGCACCTTGGTGCAGAGTCTCCCTGTGGTTTATCTGCAACATGGGTGCCACAGTTAGCCTCAGTTTACAGGATAGCCCCATGCTCCAGAAAAGAACAGTGGCAATACAGTTCGTATGAAGACATCCGTAGTTTATGGCGAGGTATTTGGATTCAAATCTCCTTCTCTCGAACCTGTGATTTCCAAATGCCTCGTTCCGAATAGTTGCTTGTCTGACTTCCCGCATTTATTACATATCCATTAATCAATATGCTGATTGTTTTACGTAACCCACCTCTTTTCAGAAACGTTTTGTATGGTGTGAAACTTTTAATCAAATTGTGTGTGAGAATTGTTCCCCAGCCTGGCTGTTCTCGTGTTGTGTTTCTTGGAGTTGAGCATGGAGGCCCATTTTTTTGGTGCTGGGACTCGAACTCGGGATCTTGCTCTTGCCAGGCAAGTGCTGTGCCACTGAGCTATCCCTGGCCCCTGGAAGCCCATTTTTATCTCAATAAGATATTAAGATACCCTTAATTGGATCTGTATAAAGGAGGCAAATTTAGTGCAATAAAAAATATTAGAAATGAAGAAATGACTGTCAGGTTTTCCTCGGTTTTTGGTAGGATGTTATGTAACTTTATAACGTCAGTATTTGTCTCATTATTAAATGGGCACAGTGTAGTTCTTTGTAGATAGTAAAGGTTAGAAGTAGGTCTTCTGAGCTCTGAGCAGAATCAGTATAGTCCCAGGCGTTCCAGCTCTACTTTTTCAGCTGGCATCTCTGAACCTTTCCTTAACTCTTCCCTTTCCTGCAAGCTAGTTCCAAAGGTTCTTGAGCCAAGTGGTCAGGTAATGTCGCTCGGTGCCTGCCTGGCAAACAGGAGGTCCTGAGTTTGATTAGTGGTACCAAAAAAAAAAAAGAAGGCCTACCTTTTCATTCTCTTTGGTTTTTCTGTTTTGTTTTGTTTTTGTTTTTGTTACTGTGTTTGTTTTTTGACAGCATCTCACTGTATTCCAGGCTGACCTAAAATTCACTGGGTGGTTCAGGGTGCCCTCAAACATTCGATTTTATTACCTCAGCTTCCCAGAGTGCTGGGATTATAAGCTTGTGTTACCGTGCCTGGCTAGTGTCATAATTTTTATGAGGCAGTGTTTATCAGGGTTTTTTTTTTTTTTATTATAACCAAGTCTATCGTTTTGCTTATACCACTCTGTTCTGATTACTATAGCTTTAATGTTAAAATCAGGTAGTGTGAACTTTGTAACTTCATACTTTTTTAAAAGTTTGAGGTATTCTTGTTTCTTTGCCTTTTATCAATTTTTAAAGCAGATAGTTCTGTAAAACTGCTGCACTTTTGATTTGAATGGGTTTGAAACTGAAGATCAGTTTGGAAAGAGTTGACATCTTAAAATATTGAGTTTTCCCATCTGATATTTCTTGTTATTTATTAGGTGTTAGATTTCTCTAGTATTTTATAGCTTTCATCACTTGGAATTTTGTACGTGTTTTGTTAGATTTATACCTAAGTGTTATTTTATTGTTTAATTTCAGTTTCTAATTGTAACCAGCATATAGCAATGTTTGATCTGTGTATATTATCTTGGGCCCTGTGACTCTAAGCTTGTGTGTTAAATGTAGTATTTTTGCTGTTTCGTTAAGATTTCCTGTGTGGTAATGTTGGTAAATTTTATGTCTTCCATTCTGATATGTCTTTTCCTTTTCTTGCCTTGTTGTATTGTCTGGGACCTTCCAAAGTTGAATTAAAGTGGCAAGAGCAGATAATGTTTGCAATTCACATTTTAGGAAGAAAGCATTTATTCTTAAAAATTTAGACTGAAACCATTAAGTATAGATGTGAGCTATAGTTATTTTGTAAATGCCCTTTAAAATTGAATTGAAACTATTATTCTCTTCCTTGTTTGCTGAGTTTTTATCACAGACGGGCACTGGTATTTGTTGAGTGATTTTTTTTTTTTTTTTCTTTTTCCTGCACTGTTGAGATGACTATAGAGTGGGTTTTCTTTAGTCTATTAATACAGTGAATTTTATTGGCTCAGTTTCACAAGTTGAATCAGCCTTGCTTTTTTCTAGACTCAGCCCCACTAGTCACGTGTTTTTTGTTTTTTTAATGCTCCATCCCCTAACTTGCTAAAATTTCCTTAAGAATTTTTATGTTTATATTCATGGGGGTGTTGGTCTGTTGCAATGAAGGCAAATCTTTTTGAGACCTTTTTGAGTTCCAAACTGCAATGCAAAAGCCCACTTACTTATCACAAAGTACCAAAACTGCAATTAAACCTGAATACTGGGGTTCTAGTTCGAAAAAACAACTCATATATTAACATCTTCTGTCTTAAAAATAGTAAATGTGTGCCGAAAGGTTGCCAACACTGGTGTATTGTGTTATGTCTTTGACTCTAGTATGAGAAATGCTGGCCCACATTTTATGTAAGGAAAAAATTGCATTTACTGTTTTATTACTCATTTCTTTATAGGTCTGAGTTTTTGTTTTTTTTTTTTTTTTTGGTTTTTCTCCGGTACCAGGAACTGAACTCACGACCTTGCGCTTGCCAGGCAGACGCTTTGCCGCTGAGCTAAATCCCCAGCCCCTTTTGTTTTTT